AGACAGAAGCAGACGGATCTCTGTAAGTTCAAGACCACCCTGGACTACACGAGAGTGAATCAGCTAAAAAGAATAACAGAGCTCACACCCTTTAATTCCAGCACTAGGGAGGTATAAAAGGAAGAAGCAGGGGCTGGAGAGATGGCTCAGAGGTTAAGAGCACTGACTGCTCTTCCAGAGGACCTGAGTTCAATTCCCAGCAACCACATGGTGGCTCACAATCATCTGTAATGAGATCTGGTGCCCTCTTCTGGTGTGCATGCATGCAGATAACTGTATACATAATAAATAAATAAAATCTTTGAAAAAAAAAAAGGAAGAAGCAAAAGGCCTGGCTGCTTTGCTTTTCTTATCTTCAGCTTGAACCCCCAATATCTGTCTTTGGGTTTTTATTATTTGTGTTACACTTAGTGCTAATAGAAACAGCCTTCATTCCCCCCACCAGTTAGCACCAGGGTAAATAAAACCCATGAAGGCAGCAAGGGCTTTACTTTACTTCTGAGATGAAAAAATAAGGAAACACAGATGCTTTCTGATGGTAACTTTACTTTATCTTGAAAAAAATCCTCTCTGTAAAATCTCTCATGCTCTTTTACACGGTTTTGCAATTAGCTCTGTATCTCTCCTCCCAAAGCTCTGTTCAGCAGCTTCTCCCTAATTAACTACATCCTTTTCTTGGCTATGTCCTTCTCTGTCTCTACCCCGCCTTTGCTGCTATCTTGTTTCTTCTGCATCACCCGCTGCTGATTCTGCTGCCTCTGCTCTCTGCTTCCTGTTCTCTCACAGCCAAAACTCTGGACAATTATATGTTACATTTTTCAGGGCCCGACCCATACTTACATGTTAAGTCACATAGTTTCTCGCCCGCTAGGAATGTTAGTAGCTCTTAGTTGGTGAGGGTTCCAAGACAGAAAATGACATTGGAAATCAAGACTTAGCAATAACAATTAATTAGCTGGACCTTGAGCGGTAGTGAGTACAAGCAGACTAAAGTTGCTTCAAGCTCTGGCCTTGAATCAGGAAAACAACACCTGGGAAAATGACCTCATGAATTTATCTCTAGGAGCAACCAGCCTGCTTTGAATCTGCTCTGAAGTCTAAAGTTAGCTTGTCTGTGTAAAAGGCTGTCTTTGTGACTCAGAATCCTATGTCAGTCTGAGTAATCCTAGTATTTCTGTTCATCAAAATTATACAGCCTAAGCATAAATCATCTTTCTGACTATCCACAGCTATATGTGTGCCCAATAAGTGTAAAACCACCAAAGGGCTGTGGAAAGAACCTTCTTATTAGGGAGACATAGCAGTGGCACCAGAGAAAGTTACAAGAAAATCAGTCATCCACTCAGTAGCCCCATGGCTCTGCCAAATAGGGCTCCCCAGTGATGTCTGGTGAGTCGGCTTTACCAGGTAAGACTCCCCAACAATGTTTAGTGGGTTGACTTGTTAAATACTATTTGTCTCTGCTGTATGTTCCCACAGCCCTCTGCCCCCACCCTTACCATGGCTTACAGGGATCAAGACTGGGGCAGCCAGGGCATAAAGAAAAGACAAACACACCAACACATGTACAGAAAAGCTGGGATCGGGTGCACTGGACTGTCTAATGGAGAAGCCTCAGCACCCAGAATACTCAGCATTTTTATTAGATTCTGTGGAACAAAGAGCCAGAGTTTTGCATGCAGCTAAACAAAGAGGCAGGTTTGACTGATTTGGCCAGAGCAGCCTCTGTAGGGAAGGAGTCTTCAGGCAGTAAACATGGGGAGCAGGAAGCTATGGTGGGCATTTTCTGCACATGCTATCAACATTTCCATAGGGACCAAGAGGAAAGGAATTGCCATTTTCTTGAGCCTAGTCCACCTTCCCATTTTCCCATAGTTGTGCCCATGTTAAACAATACACTCACTCAAAACTTCATTAACTCAGGGCTTTCTCAACTCCCCATCCCCCTGGATTTCTTTGCTGTCATTACTGAATACTCTTTACCTTTTGAGAAACAGAAAGAATGTTCATCTCAGTATTTCTCCCATGGACAGTCTTGAGATTCTTTTTACCTTCTGGGAAATGAAGTTGACATTCTTTTTTAGGTCTTGTGTTCATGTCAGTAAAGTTCTTGGTGCATAACTATTTGTAACAGAACTCTTTTTAAAAAGTCTTTGTGCCTGTTGGAAGTTAGTATGGACTATACAAGGTGAAATTAAACCCTACAGATGAGATAGGCAGGAGTAATGTAAATCTCAAATCCTGGCTACTTGGGAGCCTGAGGCAGAAGGATCATGAGTTCAAGACTTGTCTGGGGACCTTAGCAAAAGGAAACTAAAAAGAACTGAATTCACAACTAAATGGTAGAGCATTTGCCTAGAATATATAAGGCCCATGATTCAATCCTCAGCACCATGTTTACAAAAAAATTAAGGGATTAGAGAAATGGCTTAGCTGTTAAGAGTGCTGGCTGTTCTTCCAAAGACCCAGTTTTAGTTCCTAGCACTCATATGACTGCTCACAATTGTCTGTAACTCCAATTCCAGAGGATCTGGTACTTTCTTCTGGCCTAGAGGGGCACTAGGCTTGCACATGGTATACAGAGATACAGGCAACCCATACACACAAATATTTAAAAAAGATTATGTGCTGGGCAGAAGAGATGGCACAGTGGTTAAGAGCACTAGCTCCTCTTCCAGAGGAACCAGGTTCAATTCTCAGCACCCACATGACAGTTCACACCTATCTGTAACTTCAATTCCAGGGCGTCTGACAACCTTACACAGACACACATATAGGCAAAACACCAATGAACACAAAATAAAAATGAGCTAATAAAAAAAGATTGATTTTTTTTTAAAGATTACACGAAGATCAAGTGATGAGTGAAGCTTGAAAGTACGTGGTTTCAGGTCTATTTCTTGTCTGTGTGTGTTTGGGCTCCTGTGTTACCACATGAAGCCACAGGTATTGTCTGCCCCTCAGGCACTTCCACTTTGGTTTTATGAGACAGGGCCTCTCATTAGTAGAGCTCACAGTTGCTCTGCATAAGCACTGCACTCCTAAGCAGTGCAGTGGTACACCCAGCTTTTTTTCACATGGGTTCTAGGGTTCAAACTCAGGTCATCGTGCTTTCAAGGCAAGAATTTTACTGATAGAACCATCTCCCCAGCCCTAATATTTCTTGTCTTGGATGAACAATATTGATTTGTTTGTTTTTTCAGTGCTGGGAATTGAATGAGGGTCCATGCACATATGTTATGTAAGCACTGGGCTAATTTTTCTTTCTTTTAATTTTCGTTGTTTGGTTTATATTGTTTGAATTTATTTTGTTTTGAAACAGGGTCTCATTATGTAGCCTCCCCCAGCTTGGAGGTTGCTATGTAGATCAAGTTGGCCTCATAAAAGCTGGGATTAAAGACATGTGCTACCATGTCTAGCTTTATATTTAGTTTATTTATGTTATTTGTGTTATTTATTTATTTACTTACTTGGTTTTTTTTTTTAAGATTTATTTATTATGTATACAGTATTCTGCCTGCATGTATGCCTCCAGGCCAGAAGAGGGCACCAGATCTCATTATGGATGGTTGTGAGCCACCATGTGGTTGCTGGGGATTGAACTCAGGACCTCTGGAAGAGCAGTCAGTGCTCTTAACCTCTGAGCCATCTCTCCAGCCTCTTTTTTTTTTTTTTTTTTTTTTTTGAGACAGGGTTTCTCTGTGTAGTGCCTGGCTATCCTGGAACTTTCTCTGTAGACAAGGCTGGCCTTGAACTCAGCAATCTACCTACCTGCCTCTGCCTCCCCAAGAGCTGGGATCAAAGGCATGCACCACCACAGCCTAGCCTATTTATTGTTTTTTGTTTGTTTGTTTGTTTGTTTTTTGTTTTTTTGTTTGTTTTGTTTTGTTTTTTCCTAGACATATGGCTTTGGAGCCTGTCCTGGAACTAGCTCTTGTAGATCAGGCTGGCCTGGAACTCACAGAGATCCCCCTGCCTCTGCCTCCCGAGTGCTGCGATTAAAAGCATGTGCCACAACACTCTACTTGGGAGTCCTTTTTTTTTTTTTTTTTTTTGTATACAACATTCTGCTTCCATATATATCTGCACACCAGAAGAGGACACCAGATCTCATAATGGATGGTTGTGAGCCCCCATGTGGTGGCTGGGAATTGAACTCAGGACTTATGGAAGAGCAGTCAGTGCTCTTAACCTCTGAGTCATCTCTCCAGCCCTACTTGGGTGTTCTTAACTGAACCTGGGTCTCCTGCAAGAACAGTCGGTGCTCTTAACTGCTAAGCCATCTCTCGAACTCTGGCTTCATTATATAACTTCCAAGAGTACATGCTCAAGATTATAATTTTTCCATATCTCCCCATGCTTGCCTCCTTCCTCCTTCCCCTTTCTCCCAATATAACTAACTATCCTAACTGGGTTAGTGTGATAGTGCAGTGAATATTTCTAGGTAACCATGACCCAATATCACACTTCATATACAGTTATTTTAAAGAATCACAACATATTGGATGCTCATTCCACAGATTTTTATTGAATCCTGAATAAATTGTTGACACTGAGCCTGGGCATCTGAAGATGAGACAGGCCCAGTCCTGCCTCACAGACAGTACAAGTCAGTAGAGGCAGTGGTTACTCCTGTACCTGGTGCTGCTTTCTAAAGGTTAGGATCATAGGTGCTAGTAGAGACCTGTGAAACGACAGTCAGTGACCTCTGAACAGTTTAGGAACTTTAACCAAGTTGTATATTGATAGATAACAGGAGTCTTTGCTGTGTTTTTTGTTGTTGGATTTTTTTGTTGTTGTTGTTGTTTTGTTTCTTTTCTTTTTCTTCTTCCTCTTCTTTTTTTTTTTTTTTTTTTCAAGACAGGGTTTCTCTGTGTCACTCTGGCTGTCCTGGAACTCACTCTGTAGACCAGGCTGGCTTCTCCCTCTCTGGTGCTGCGATTAAAGGTATGTACCACCACCACCTCCTGGCAGAAGTTTTTAAAACATGCAAAACTGATATTTGATTTGGTAGCACATATACTAGAAAATTGGAACAACACAGAGAAGATTAGTATGATCTCTGACCAAGGAAGACATGCAAATTCATGAATCGTTCCATATTTAAAAAACAAAAACACAAATGAACAGATTAGTACATTGAACTGTCAGGTACTTGTCCGTCATCTTGTGAGACCACAGACACATGGCCAGTTGCATTCCATCTGTATCTCTACTCATCCCTTCACTTCACCGGTTTATTCTGAAGCAGAAGTCAACATACTCAAGTTCTTGTCTTCTGCTTGTTCTTGATGCTGTTTCCTTTGGATACTGAAAGTGTGCTTAATTTTTATTGCTTTTGGAAGTCTTCTTATACCTAACATTCTCTGTCTGTCTGCGTGTCTGAGGGTGCACATGTGCTTTTCTCTCTGTGTGCATGAGCATGTGTGCCTGCATGTGTGTGCGTGTACATGCCTGTGTGTGTGTATGTATGTATGTATGTATGTATGTATGTATGCATGCATGCATTAGTTTATGTACACCACATGCATGCAGGTACCTGTGGAGGCCATAAGTGGGTGTAGAATCCCCTGTAACCAGAGTTATAGCTGTTTGTAGGCCATCTGACATGGGTACTGGAAACCAAATTCAGGTCCTCTGAAAGAACAGCAAGTGCTTTTATCCTTCAAGCCATTTCTTCAGGCCTCATTATTTTGTCTGTCCCATTTGAGTCACATGAACCTACTGTACACCACTTTGCTTACCAATTCGTCTATGTTTTCGCTATAGCACATGAGGTTCAAGATTGGAACAGTTTATGTGGTGCTGGGGATTGAACAGGGCCTCAGCCTCATTCTTCCTAACAAGCATTCTATCAATTGAGCTACATACCCAACCCCTTAGTAAATTGCTGATAAATGGATGGATGAATTCCATTATTGTGCAACACTATTCATGGGGAGATGTGGACAAACATTTACTCACCCCCGATTGTGAACTGGTGACAGAGCAAAGTAAAGGTACCACCAGAGTCCAGTGTTGTGGATGTTGCAGCTTGGGTGTGGGATCACCGGGTGCATCGAAAGAAAACCCAGAGACACTTTAAGAATGAATTTAGCTGTTGCAGCTGCAGGGGACCTCAGCTTTATGGAACTGAAGTACATTCCCTATGCCCACAGCATTTTTATTTTTCTTTATATTTACACTTTAGTTAGTTGATTACCATATGCTAAGAACAACTTGAATGAGGCTTCCAAAAAGACAATGCTGTGTACATAGTCTTGATTCATAGGTACCACAGTTTCCCAGGTTTCCTGAAGCAAGTTTTGCATAGGCCTTTGTCTTCTTGGAAAAGTCCCATACAAAGTTCACATAGCGGGACAAAAGGTATCTGGTCAGTCAAAGAATGGATTAGGCTAGGGGTTTGCTCTCTGGAGTTAGGCCAGGTGCCATTCAGTAGATGTTTAGGACAAGATACTATCCCTGTGGTGCCAGGCCAACAGGATACAGTTAGAGTCCTGTAAACCAGTGAGTTTATTGTCTAGTCAAAACCCACCCCACATCGGTGGCAGCTGAACTTCTGGAGCTCACTGCACAACAGGCAGCTGGACAGACTGTTTCAGGCAGCTCAGCAGTTTCTGACCCGGCAGCTGGGCTGGTCAGAGATGTCTCTCATATATCTTGAGGACAAAGAGGCCTAGTGAATCTGGCCAGTTTCAAGGATTTGCTGAAACATTTGAACTAACTTCCTGAGTTTTAATGAGTTTGCTTTCAAGATGGAATATTCATCATTACCACCACCCAGAACATATAACATCTTAACAGTTTCTTCCAAGATGCAATGTTTTAACTCTGAGGAAGTTACTATACAACATTCATATGGCCTTTAACTCTCCTGAACCTCAAAACTACCACTTCAAGATTGTACTTGGTAGTGTGAGGGGTTGAGGGAGTGGGGGTGGTGGAGGTGGTGATGGTGATGATTGAACCCAGGGCCTTGCAACTGTGAGGCCAGCACTCTTCCATGGAAGTACATTCTAGCCCATGTGTTTTGTCTAGCTGAAGAATCTCAGTTTTTCCCTGGCTTCCCTTTCTGGTCTCTTCTGGCCAGATGCATGCAGGTACTCCTGATGGCAGAGGACGGAGCCAGAGGCAAATTCTGAGAAGAAAAAAATAAAACACTATGGTGAAATACCCTAGCCAGTTTAGATAGGCTGGAGGAGGAAAAGAACATCTTGCTGAAAAGTGTCCTGGAAGTGTAGCTTTCTGTACAGGGTCAGGGAAGGTGGCTCATGCTAGCTAATGGGCTAGGGTCCCCTGGTCTGCAGTATTGTGAGTCCACCACTAAGTCAGCATTTGTGAAGACCAGACTCCACATTGAGAGCAGAGATAGGCTCCCTTTTTGCCTGAGGTCAGACATAGTCACCGTGGGCAGCAGAGTTGTTACAGTTTTGTCTGGGGTTCCTGTGAACACTGAGTGTGATGGTGAGTGAAAGTGGAGTGTCCTCGGAGTTCACAATCCTTTGTGGATGCCTGATCCTAGCCCTCAATCCTTAAAACCATTAACTACTTTGAAACTCTTGGTGGGGTTCTGCTGGGTCACCTTCTTTAGTCCTAAGTAAAAAGCATAAATCCCAACACCTGCCACAGCCCAGATAACGTGTTTCTTAGTTGTTTACAGCTTGTCTTTCCACAAGACACAGCTCCCCAGAAAGTGAGCTAGAGCAGAATCAGGCTCTCCACAATCCAGCCCATTTGGGTTCCAGCAAGAAGTATCTTAAACATGATAAGATACTAAGGGTAGAACCACACCTCTCCAGTCCCAACCCAGACCACCAGAATGATTCCACTTAAAGTGGAACAAAGACAATAGGCATTGGGGACCAGTGGATGGCTTAGCAGGTAACATTTCTTTCTTTTTTATTGTTTTTTTATTTTGGTTTAATTTTATTATATATTTTTTAAAGATTTTATTTATTATGTATACAGTCTTCTGCCTGCAGGCCAGCAGAGGGCACCAGATCTCATTCAAGGTGGTTGTAAGCCACCATGTGGTTGCTGGGAATTGAACTCAGGACCTCTGGAAGAACAGTCAGTGCTCTTAACCGCTGAGTCATCTCTCCAGCACGCAGGTAACATTTCTTGCCAGTAAGGATAATGTTATGAGTTTGACACCAAAACACAATGGTGGAAGGAGAGAATTGATCCCACATACACACAAAAACTAAAATTTAAAATGTGGAAGGTATTAGCAGCCAGTATCAAATTAATAAAACAGAAAGGAGACAGACTTGAGTCTTTCTTCAGGACACAAGAGCAAATAACAGTATCTTTGATGTACAAGAAAGGTGTTTAATGCAGAAGAACCCTGGGTTATAACTTTACCACTGGGCTTAATCAGTGAGATGACAATCACTAATAAACATCTGAGGGCTGGAGAGATGGCTCAATGGGTAAGAGCACTGGCTGCTTTTGGAGAGGACCTAGATTCAATTCCCAGCACCCACATGGCAGCTCACAACCATCTGTAACTCCAGTCTTAAGGAATCCGGTGCCTTCTGGTCTCTGCAGGACCCAGAACACAGAACATATGCATACAAAAACACTTATATACATAAAAATGTTAAAGTTGTTTTAAACTTAAAAAAAATAAAGAAATGTTTGAGTTAGCTGACAGGTTGTTCAATGGGAAAGGCACCTTCTGACAGATCTGATGCCCTGAGTTCAACTCCAGGACACACATGTGGGAGGAAGGAGTCAACTCCTACCTACAACTTTTCAGACTTCCTCACATGCCCAATACACACACACACACACACACACACACACACACACACACACACACACACACACACTAAAAATGGAATAAAGATTTTAATTGATACCCATTTATGATTCCATAATTATAAACTAGAATAGACAGGAACTTCTTCAATGGGATACAGAATATCTGTGAAACACTTTAACTAACATTATAGTTAAATTATGCGTTTTCTCTCCACTAAAGTAAGGAACAAGGTGAGGATTTGCTCTCCTTCTGCTCCTTTTTGCACTGTTTGGGAAGTCACAGTAAATGCAATATAACAAAAGAATTAAAAGATACAAAGCTTGGAAGGAAAGAAACACTGTGTCCACAGATGATAGACCCATCTCTAGAAAATCCATAGAACTGACAGAAAAACGGTTATTGATTAGCCATTGTAGAGAAAGCTGCAGGGTATAAGGTTAATACACAAAACTCAGTTGCTTCCCTATACACCAGCAGTGGACAAGTAGAAAATGAAACATAAGGCACAGATTTAACAAAATGCCTACCAAACTCTGATGGATATAATCAGAGAACTAAAGAGGAGACATTCCATGTTTGTGAATAAGAAGACACAATGTTGTGAAGATAAGAGTCTTTCCCAACCTGACTTATCAATTCAGAATAGTCCAAAGTCCCATAAGTTATTTTGTGGATATAGACAAACTGATACTAAAGGTTACATGGAGGGAGAAAAAAAAAAAAAAGACTCGGCACAGTCAACCAGCATTGAAGTAAAGGAGTACATCTGGAGAACTGACATTCTCTGGTCTTCAGACTGAAAATCGGGGGGTAGCAGGATGGCTTGGCAGGTAATAGCATCACCTGAGTTCCATGTCTGGGACCCACATACTGGAAAAAGACAACCAACAACCAGCTAAAAGTTGTCCTTTAACTTCCACAGTCAAGCCACATACGTGTACATAAATAATAATAAAGGCAAAAACCTTAAATAAGTGAGACAACCTGTTACTGGTGAGAGATCAGGCAAATGCATCATGGAATAAACAAAAAGATCGTGCAGGAACAGGATCTACAAATAGACCCATAAATAGTGTAAACTAATTTTTTAAGATAGGCCTCACCATGTTGCCCAGACCAGTCTTAAACTCCTAAGCTCAACTGATCTCCTGAGTCCACCTTCCAAGTAGCTGGGACTAGAGGTATGTTGCCACTGTTTCCAGTGGAGAAACTGATCTTTGACAAAAGAACAAAGACAATACAGTGAAGACAAGATAGTTTTTCTAAGCAATGGTGCCAGAACAACTACACAGCTATATGGAAAAAAAAAAAAAAAGACACATACACACGTAACAAAAATT